CAGTGGCCACAGGACTGGAAAAGGTCAGTTTTCATTCCAATCCCAAAGAAAGGCAATGCCAAAGAATGTTCAAACTACCACAGAATTGCACTCATCTCACATGATAGCAAAGTAATGCTCAAAATTCTCTGAGCCAGGCTTCAACAGTACATGAACCATGAACTTCCAGATGTTCAAGCTGGATTTAGAAAAGGCAGAGGAACCAGAGATCAAATTTGCCAACATCCATTGGATCATCAAAAAAAAGAGTTCCAGAAAAACATCTACTTCTGCTTTATTGACTACACCAAAGCCTTTGACTGTGTGAATCACAACAAACTATGGGAAATTCTGAAAGAGATGGGAATACCAGACCACCTGACCTGCCTCCTAAGAAATCTGTATGCAGGTCAAGAAGCAACAGTTAGAACCGGACATGGAACAACAGACTGGTTCCAAATTGGGAAAAGAATACGTCAAGGCTGTATATTGTCACTCTGCTTATTTAACTTATATGCAGAGTACGTCATGAGAAATGCCAGGCTGGATATAGCACAAGCTGGAATCAACATTGCTGGGAGAAATATCAATAAACTCAGATACTCAGATGACACCACCCTTATGGCAGAAAGCGAAGAACTAAAAGAGCCTCTTGATGAAAGTGAAAGAGAGAGTGAAAAAGTTGGCTTAAAACTCAGCATTCCTAAAGCTAAGATCATGGCATCCAGTCCTATCACTTCATGGCAAATAGATGGGGAAACAATGGAAACAGAGACTTACTTTATTTTGGGGGGCTCCCAAACCACTGCAGATAGTGACTGCAGCCATGAAATTAAAAGACGCTTGCTCCTTGGAGGAAAGCTATGACCCAACCTAGACAGCATATTAAAAAGCAGAGACATTACTTTGCCAACAGATGTCTGTCTAGTCAAGGCTATGGTTTTTTCATTAGTCATGTATGGATGTGAGAGTTGGACTATAAAGAAAGCTGAGCCCTGAAGAATTGATGCTTTTGAATTATTGTGTTGCAGAAGACTCTTGAGAGTCCCTTGGACAACAAGGAGATCAAACCAGTCCATCCTAAAGGAGATCAGTCCTGAATATTCATTGGAAGGACTGACGCTGAAGCTCCAATACTTTGGCCACCTGATGTGCAGAACTGACTCATAAGAAAAGACCCTAATGCTGGGAAAGATTGAAGGCAGGAGGAGGAGAAGGGGATGACAGAGGATGAGATGGTTGGATGGCATCACCGACTCAATGGACATGAGTTTGGGCAAGCTCTGGGAGTTGGTGATGGACAGAGAAGCCTGTCTATCTGCAGCATATACATTCCCTGTGGGGCAGGCTGGCATGCTGCAGTCCATGGAGTCGCAAAGAGTTGGACACGAGTGAGTGACTGAATTGAACTGACTGAATTTTAGAAAAGCACCCCTATATGATATTTTTGGAATAAAAAGTCAGAATACATGATCAGATTTTTAGAAGTGGTTTTTAAGAGTGAAAAGCTTCCTGAGAGCTGTGGTTTGGCTGCTAAGATACCAAAGCAGCAAAAAGGAGAGAATTCCAATGTCATCCAGGTACAGCTTCCACATCCAATAACTGTCCAAAGACCACGGCAGTTCAGTGCTGGGCCCCGCCCAGCCCACAGTCAGCTCCGGAAAGGAGTAGCTACTTGTTTTCTTTAGAAAAGAGGGGCAAATCTTCCTGCTTAGATTAGAAAAAGCGCCCCACAGGGAATGTGCGTGCTGCAGCATCTCAGCCTGTCGTTTCTCCTCCTGCTTTTGATAGGAAGCTGGGAGAGACGACCCCGGGGAGAAAGTGTGAGACGACAAGCAGGTGATAATCCTGTGTGAGCACGGTAAGGCTCAGGGCGCAGGAGAAGCACTCAAAGCATCTTGACCTCTTAAGAGTGCACCTTGAGAATGAAATGAGAGAAAAGTCGAAAAGTAGCATTTTGGTTGGGTCAGAGAACAAGATCGACTTTACTGAACATAAAGGAGTGATCCTCCAATTTAAAAAAAAAGGAGGAAAAGAAAATAAAAAATTTTAAAAAGGAGGGAAAAAAGCCTACACTGGACAGTTGTAAATAAAGGTGAAGGATATGGGGAAAAATAATAATGTGCTTTATACTTGGTTTTCTTTTTCATTATTTCATGCTTTTTGAGTATACTTTTTCTTTGTAAACTGAATGCATAGTCAGTAACTGGCAGTTTTTTTTAAGATTTAAAATGGATACTAGGTGAACAGGTTTTCTTCAGAAGCCTCACTTTCTGGACCATGTGGTCACAACTGAGCTCCTGTTAGCGTCTGATGGCAGCGTGCCGCTTTTCTGGTATTGAGACGTGACAACGTTGGGAGAAGTCTCGTGAGGTGAGGTCATCACAGTAACCGTTACTCCTTAGAAGGTTCCTGCTGGACCATTAAACACGGCAACTCTGTATAGACATAAGAGTTTCCTTGAAAGCAAGAATTCTAGGTGTTTTTCCCATTTGTCATTTTTAAAGAACAAGGACTCGGGAATTCTCTGGTGGTTCAGTGGTTAGGACTCGGAGTTCTCACTGCTAGGGTCCAAGTGCGATTCCTCATGGGGGAACTGTGAACCTGTAAGCCGTGTGGTGTGGCCCAAATAAAGTGCAAGAATTTGAGAAATCTGGCGCCCAGCCGCTCTGAAACCACCCTTGATCACTGGTTTAACGATGTTGTCACCAAATTTTTTATTTTTTTCTGGCTGTGCAGCATGTGGAATCTTAGTTCCCCAACCAGGGATTGAGCCCGCGCCCCCTGCAGTGGAAGCACAGAGTCTTAACCCCTGGAGCAGCAGGGAAGTCCCTACTGTCAGCAGGTTGGACCCCAGCTATTGGCAAAAATGTCACACAAAAGGCTCTGCTTTGTGGAAATAGAACTGCTAACTTCTGGTTTTCCAGGCTGCTCTCTCAGACTAGCTCTGTCTTAATTACCTAGAAGAGCAACGATGTTCCCAGAGCGCAGAGACTTGCACCTTCTGCACAGGATGCCTTTGAAGCTGCAAAGCCTCCTCTGTCCTTTGTAAATAATGAAGATGAACCTGTATGGCCTGGCTTGGCTTAACTGGACTATATCCCACCAGTGGTATCTCTATCCATTCCTAGTGGAATCTTCCTGGGGAAGATGAGCTCATCTCTGAATGCCTCCCGAGGTCTGACAACTTTACCCCTTTTCCTCACCTTGATGCCACCTGATCAGCTAAAAAGAAGCTTGGAATTTATTTTCCCCTTTAAGTGTGTTTCACCTTGACTCGGTGCAGCTGAGTCGTGCGGTCTCTGAGAAACAAGCTTTCTTGGGAAATTAGATTCAGAAAGGCATTATTCAATTAGTATGTTTGTAGACAAAGCCCTACTGACAAAGTGTGCACCACATGTCCAGAGTAATTCTTGCTTTGGAAGGGTCAAAAGAAAGGAAGACCCTTCAGAATATAGAAAGAATGCTCCATGAAAATCCCAGCTTCCTGTTGGCGGTCCTCCCCTAAGACACAGTCTCTTCCCCCAGACTCTTTGATCAGAAAGAATGCAGTGAGCAGTGACTGAGGAAGCCCAGAGAGGGCAGTGATGTGTCAGACTCCATTCCTGTGCTCCAAGCCAGGTGGGAACAGACCGCCAGTAAGATGTACTGCTGTAGCTCTAGAATGTTGTCATGGGTTAGAGAGAGCTGCTAACTGAAATGTCAGATACCTGGGTTTGAGTCCCACCCAGGCTCGGGGCTGGAGGAGCACCATTGCTTAACATCTCTGGACCTTCGTTCTCTGACCTGAAAAGTGAAGTGACGGTCCAA